AGAAACCTTTGAAAGTAGTTATACAGAGAGTTCAGGAACCGCCACAGAATTCAGGGACATGGACTCCAGCTCTATCACAGGATCCCCATTTCTGTTTCCTTTTTGCCTCTGCTACATTTTTACCATCTGGCTGCCTCAGCTTGCTTGTAACTTTAGTCCCTCAACATTTTAATTTATATGGGGGAGGGCCATCCTGGTGACCTTTGCTTCGCTTCTCCTCACAGCTTCTGTTATCTGACAGCTTGTTTCCTAATTCAGACTCCCAAGACCAAATCTAATTGGCCCAGTTCATCTTTTATTGACAACAGTTCATTGGCCAAGTCACTGTTCTGTGCACAGATTGGCTGCCGTAGATCAGATCCCGTTCCTAGATCCATCAACTATTGCCACGGGTGTGCGCCTAGCGGGGACTGTGAGCAGGCACCGTTACTATTTGACAGACCATTTCTCTTTCTTCCAAAAAAAAAAGAAACACCCAACTGTCGTCTTATTGGACCTGCCACTCCTATTTGCTGCCTTAAACTGATCTTCACCTCCCTCCCCCTTCTTTATGACTTCATCTGTAATCAGAACCCTTGAGAAATCTTAATTTCTTCCCTACAAAAGAGTTTCCTTGCCTTGTCGCCAGCTACTCCCATGTACTGATGGGCTTGACCTCCATATTAATCCCACACTGTCCTGCAGACAATCCCAAAGACCTGAGATCTGATTTAACCTCCTTGCTAGTGTCAATGCAAAAGCATTTCTTCAGTTGCATCCACACCTGTAAACCTTTGCCCCAGCCAGATTTTCAAATTATCTTCCCTCTTGGACTCACTTAGGACTCATTAATAAGCACTTAACTTAGTAATGGTTGTTTAACTTCTTTGCAAACAGCCATACACCCTCTGCCCCCCCCTTTCCAGCTAACTTGCCCAAGCCCTCGTGAAGCCCAGCTGCTCCCTACTCTCTGCCTTCTTTATCAGACATGAGAAATTGAGAGTGACTGCTGTCCCTTAAAGTGGATGTCCACAAATTTCAAACAAGCTGTGACTCCTGTGTAGCAATCTTTATTTTTTTCCTTTCTTCCTCTCTCCCTCCCTTCCCTTTCCCCTCATTTCCTTTATTTTTCATTTCCTTCCTCCTTTTCTTCTCATATCTACCTCTGTCTTTTTTTTTTTTTTTTTTTTTTTTGGTGCTGGGAATTGAACCTAGGTCCTTGATACTGACCTACATCCCCTACTCTTTTTCATTTATAATGGGATCTTGCTAAATTGCCCAGGCTAGTCTAGAATTCATGATCCTCTGCCTCAGCCTCCCAGAGAGCTGGGATTACAGGTATGCATCACCACACTGAGTTTGTGTTTCTTTTTTAGTCAATTCCCACACTCATTCATATTCTCTCTCTCTCTCTCTCTCTCTCTCTCTCTCTGTGTGTGTGTGTGTGTGTGTGTGTGTGTGTGTGTGTCTGTGTGTGTGTGTGTCTGCCTCAGCCTCCCAGAGTGTTGGGATTACAGGTATGCATCACCACACTGAGTTTGTATTTCTTTTTTAGTCAACTTCCACACTCATTCATTCTCTGTCTGTCTATCTGTCTGTCTGTCTCTGTCTCTCTGTCTCTGTCTCTGTGTGTCTTTCTTTTAAGACAGGATTGCACTGTTCAGTTCTTGAACTTTGAGCTCAGGCTAGCCTTGAACTTGCAGCAACCCTGCCTTTGTCTCACAGTCTAAAATGATTTTTTCAGCCTCCTTTCTCTTCAAAGTTCCCATCGCTTCTCATCCTTTGCTTGAAGCAGATAACCTTGCCTCGTACTTGACAAAGAGTAGAATCAGTCATACAGGAGCCCTGTCAAGATGCAGCGTCTCCGCACCTTCCCTGACTTCTCTGCCCTTCCTGCCTTGACAGGGAAGGGTTTGTATTCGTCTCGGGGCTGCCTCCTCCGCCTGAACTCCAGATCCTTCTTCCTTCGTCATCAGTTTCTTCCTCATCTGCTTCAAAACATGTCCCAGTGTCTGGTATCATAAAAATCTTAACACCTACAGCCCCACGCTGCTTGATATCCCCCATCTCTTCCTAGCCACCTCCCCCACTTTTCTGCTCTCTTTCACCTCAAAACACTGTGGGTTGTCTGCAGGGGCTGACTTTACATGGCTCCAATTTTGCCTCAGAGTTCAGGTTCTTTCTCTGCCTGCTTTGGACTTCTTGGGCTGATCTGGGAATTCTGTGTTGCATGGTCACTTCGGTCCTCAGTTTACCACTGGCCTCTGGGATCTGCTAGGACGGCTCATTCTCCCACTGGCTGCACCAACCTCGGCTTTCCAAACATGATTCTCTCGGTCTTCGTGTTTCTTCCTTTTTTTTTTTTCCTTCTGAGACAGGGTCTCCCTGTATAATCCAGACTGGCCTTGAACTCATGGCAATCCTCCTGCCTCAGCATCCTGAGTACTAGAATTACAAGTGTGTGCCACCATTGTCTACTCTTCCTGAAGGCTTCCAGGACCCCTTCTCTCATATCTAAATCCTCTTTTGGTACTTGCTGTGTATCTTCCAGAACTAGAATGTAGGTGTTACATATGAATGAAGGTAATAGCATCAACATGATAGGATTAGCATGTAAATTCACAGAGCAAGTACAGATACTGAAAGGATGGCTACTTTTTAATGAGCTTACTATGTGCTAAACACTTTTCCTGTATTATCTCATTGACTCCTGCAACAATCCTTTGAACTAAGGACTTTGATTATTACTGTTTTGCAGAAGAAATGGAGATATAAACAAAATAATTTGTGTAAGATCATACCATTAAATGGATGGATTTATCTTCACCTTTGGTCTTTCTGACTCAGGCAGGATTTCAAGAACCACCAAATTGAAATACGTAGCTGCAAAAGACAATGCTTCTTCCCAGCATATAACATATGGTAGCTTACACATAGCAGGTGCCTATAAGTATTTTTTGCATTTAGGCAAGTGGGAAGGAAACCCCGAGCCTTATAATAGCATCACTCAAGGCCCTTGAGGGCCTCAGAAGAACAGTCTTTCACTATATGCAGATATACATCTGTTTTTCACAGGCCACACCAAAGCAGACATTATCCAAGGCTGGCCAACATGGTTTCTGTCTTTTCTTTCTCAGTTAAGTCCCTATAGCTGGAACTGTTGGTTAATAAATGCACAATTATCCCAGGAGGCTAGAGTTTTCTTATCCTGTCAGTCACCTCCAATGAACAGGCGCGGGCCTGCTTCCTGAGTTGCAGGGGTGGGGGTGAGGATCTTCCCAGGTTACTAAAGTGGTTTTAGATGTTTTGCTAGTTGTTTTAGAGCTATGAGAGAACCCTGGGATATGCCAGATTTTAACAGGAGGAACGGAATACAGTATGGTCATCCTGTCTTCTTAGAGATCAGGGTATCTCCCAGGTGTGCATACCCTTTTTGTTTTACGACTTAACCCTTCCTTGTCTTTCAGACATGTAATATATCCTCCCACACCCAAGTCCAGAGGAAAGGATCCTGTCTGTCTGAAGCCAAAGCAGGGCTTTGAGCGTACCAATCGGTTTGGTGTTGGCCGGTCAGGTAGTCTGGGCCCCAGTGCTTTCTGGAAAACACTAATCAAAAAAATCTGTGCCCCTGAGGTGAGCTGTGCATCAAGAAAGTCTGGGAAATGATGGTCTTTTGGGAATTCTGTTTTGTAGGAACCTTACGCTTTGATTATCTGGTCTCTCCTTGGACTCTACTCCTCCTCTCAACCAGATGGTCTCCTCTGCTCTTAAACATGCCCATGTCTTTGTGTGTGTGTTTGTGGTTCTGGGGATGAAACCCAGGGCGTCGTGTGTGCTAAGCAACTGCCCTACTACTGATCTACACCATCAACTTTCGCCTTATTTTTTTTTAAAAGAAAAGTTATTTGACTCTCATACTCTTCTAGCGGACATCCATCCCCTGCCTTTCACAACGGGACAGTTTTCCCTATTTTCTCCCTCCACTTGCCGCCCTCCCCTTCTCTGCCCTCACTCTCCCACTGAAACAGCTCCAAGGTCGCCATCACCTCCCAAGCAAAGATCACATGGACCTTTTTCAGTGTCATCTCCTGTGACTCTGGAACAGTATTTGACACTGAGTTGCTTCTTCCTCGTTCAAGTAGTTTCTTCTTTGGCTTCCGTGACATCTCAGTAATCTCCTGGTCTTCATCTCGCCTTTAGGGCAGCTCTTGCTCTCTATTCTCTGCAGACATGTCCTCTTCCGTGTGGCCACTCGGTGATGGAGCACCCAGAGGTTGGCAGCAGGTCCTCTCATCTGTCACTTGGTGCCGTCTCCTTAGATAGTCTGTCTCACCTGTGGTCATGGCTTCTGTACCAGTGGCCTCAGTCATGAAGTAAAGGACTGTCTCCTTGATAACAGGTTAAATCAAGATGCTCACCAAAAGAAGGAGAAAGATGCTGAAAAAGGAAAAAAGAAAAGAAAAAATAAAAGAAACTCACTCCAGGCATTCTGGATAAACTAGTGCAAGTGGATGACTCGTGCAAGGCAGACTCTTTTGGGTCTTAGTAATTTCTAGTCATTGGAACCTTAAGTGGGACAGAGTGCAGACCAAAAAAAAAAGTGCTGATTTTCTTTGGAGACAGAAAACTGTGGTTTGTTGAAGCAGCCTTGGCTAGACAGCTTAGATCAACTTTTTCCACCCCTCAGCATCGTGAAAGAACATGTATAAGAAAAGGGAGGTAGACAGACCACTAGCAATCCACTTCTTTTTAATACAGTCCAGGGCTTCAGGATACTTTCCTCTGAGGTTAGACACAATCGTCTGGGGGGTTTTGGGTTTGCTTTTCTAATGGGTACCTGGGAGAAATCACCTGCCTTCTGCTGGACCAGTTTGTATCATGTTCGTCAGCAGGAGTCTTGATCGGAGCTGTAGAAAGGTGTCTTGCATGCACGCCAGCTGCTGGAGTTTTATGTGCGTACTGGGGAGAATTCATGTTCAGTGCATGACGCTGGCCAGCCAACCACCCGCCAGAGCTGGCAGGACTCCCCAGCGCTTCTCAGGACAAGCAGCCTTGCTGCTCCAGGTAGTATTGTCCAACAGGACCTCAGAGCTGGGCTTGAGGCCTCCTGCTGTGTGTTTCCATGGAAACCCTGTACTTTGTACACCTTATCAGATTACCTGTGAGGCAAGGACAGTGAGTCACATAATTAACTGTTAGCATAGTGTCTGAGATGTGTTACAATGTGAAGGAAGCTGCTCAAATTGGGAACCTGACTCCAAACCCAGTCATCCAGGATACAGACCTCATTCATCCACATCTTCCCCCAAACTGTCATTTCTCTTTGCAAACAGACATTGCAATGTTCCAAATGAACTCAACCCCTGGATGCAGAACTGACCCAGGAGTGGTAAGTGGCAGGATTTCGAGAACAGTCCTTTGAAAGATTAGAATAAAAGGTCAGAGCAGGACAGTTGTGGTAGCAGCTATGAACCCAGTTACTCATGAGGCTGAAGCAGGAAGATTAATCGAACCCATGAGTTTGGGACCAACCTGGGCAACATAGAACTTATCTCTTAAGGAGTTCAAAGCATTAAATAATGGGAGGCTTTTACATACCATTGGTAATAAAATAATAGGACATAGTTATGGGTTAATTGAAAGGCATGCAAACTTCATGTAGTCTGAAAACCAGAAAATGTTGCCAATAGAAATTAGAGACCTAAATAAATATTTGTACCCAATTTATGGATTGAAAAATTTAATGTTGTTAGGATGTTTGTTGTCCCTGAAGTGATTTATCGAGTCAATACAATCAAAATCAAAATACCAGCAAGTTTTGGTATAGAAACTGACAAACTGATTCTAAAATTCATGTGGAAATATAAGTAATATTTAAAACAATCTTGAAAAAGTAGAAAGAAGTTAGAGGACCTACTACTTTATTTCAAGACCTGTGATAGAGCTGCAGAGAGCAAAACCGTGGGCCACTGGTGTAAAGAAAGATACACAAAATAGACTCACTATATAGTCAAATTAATTCTTGACCAAATGCTATCATAATTCAATGGGGGAAAATATTGTATGTGAGCAACTGGAGATCCACTTACAAAATGATGAATCTTGACCCTTGCTGCGTACACAAGCAGTAACTCAAAGTAGATTGTAGGCCTAAACATAAAAAACAAAAACTATAAAATTTCTAGAAGAAAACAGGAGAAAATCTTCATGACTTCTTAGGATAGAAAAAGCACTAACTAAAAAGGGAAAAACAATAAATTGGATTTGAAAAAAATAAAATTCTGCTCTTCCAAAGATGCCATTTAAAACAAAGGATTTCAGAGCCTTATAAAACATCACTTAAACACATATAGCAACAATGTGGTCGTACAAGCTTGTCATCTCAGCCCTCTGGAAGACTGAGGAAGGAGGATCCATGTTTGAGCCAAGGCTAAGGAACTTAGCAACTTAGCGAAATCTGTCTCAAAACAAAAAATAAAAAGGATTTGGAATATAGCTCAGTAGACGGGCCCCGAGTTCAGTCCCCAATATAGAAAACAAAACAAAAAACACACAAGGACTTTGCATATTTTTAAGAAGAAAGTTATAGTGTCTCTGCTATATGTTTCAATCCAACTAGACATATCAACCTTATTTTCTGTTCAAGTGGACCAACAGAACATGTAGTATTAGAGGGTCATTCTTGGGTGCTGGGGATTTAGCTCAGCGGCATAAGCACCTGCCTTGTAAGCAGGCGGTCGTGAGTTCGATCCCTGGTACCGGTAAAAATGAAAAAGACAAAAAAAAAAAAAAAAAAAAAAAAGAGGGTCATTCTTGAAGTTTTAACTCGCATGGCCGAAATAGAATCAGTGCCAGTTAGCCAGAATGACTGCAGATTGCGGTCAAAAGGGAAAACATTTGTCCAAAACATCTGAACAAGTGGGGATGAATACTTGGTCCAGCAGTGAGAGTATTAAGTGGGAAATGTGAATCAGCATGTCTGAAGCCAGACAGACTGGGAACAAAGTGTGAAGGGGGAAAGTGAAGGGCATGCGAGGTCAAGGTGATTCAGCAGTGAGGCTCCAAGCAGTGCAAGAGACGATGGACCCCATTTCGTAGGTGCTGCCTCTTGACAGCTTAAAACTTCCAGGCAGAATGAGACATGTGCAATCTAAGATTTTTAAGGTCTGGCACAATTTAAAACCTCTACCAGTTAAGCAAATTGATTGCTAAAGATTTCTTGTCAGGCACCTGGACAGCTACCACTGAATTTCTCTTGAGCTTTAACCTTGATGCCTCTTCATTCTCTGGCACTCACTACCTTTGACTAATACAGACATAGTGGTGCTAACAAGCCACATTTCTCCAGCCTGCAACTTCAGTGTTTATCAGTGTAGTAAAACTCTTTTTAGGGCTGGGCCATAAATATAGAGATGATATTCCTTCTCCATCCTCTCCTTCCTTCCTGTCTCGAGGAACATAGTCTTTCAGTACCAGGAATCAAACTCACGGCTGCCTGCTTACAAGGCAGGCTCTTATGCCACTGAGCTAAATCCCCAGCCCCTAGGAACATAGTTTTTATTGTCCATCTTCCCATAAGGTCTTATTACTGTCTCATCATGGGACTGGGTTTTGACCAATAGTGTGCGGGAGGAAGTAACGCACTGCTTCCAAACACAGTCGTCACAAGCTCCTTAAGTCTGACCTATGTCTCTGTTCATCAGCCAACTGCAGGCAGAGGAGTTAAGGGAGGACTTCAAGATGGAAGAAGCTTGCCTTCCATGATAAAACACCAAAAATATCCAATCTTACTGTGTTTGAAGGTGAGGGAAACACTTGTTTACTTTAAAGAGCTACTAAGAGTTGAGGTTTATTCCAGGAGCATTACCCTAATGCAAGTCTATGGAGCTCTACCTCATAGCTTGAAGGTTCTACAGGTATCTGAAGGGTTTTGTTTTGTTTTGTTTGTTTTATCAGTACCAGGGTTCAAACTCACGACCGCCGGCTTGCAAGGCAGGTGCTTATGCCGCTGAGCTAAATCCCCAGCCCAGGTATCTGAAGTTTGGACAAAGATCACTTAGCTGCATCAGTGAAGAGCCAGAATTTGGATGGAGGTCTGTCTGATCCCATAGTCTATGTTTTTATTTTTAAATTCCTCTACCTTAACAGCAAACAAAGAGGTGTCTGGATATTTTGAGTGATGATCATAATGATGATAGACTCTAGGGTCATGTATAATTTTCTCTTGGGCACATCTTACTAAGTATTACTACAGAAATTTCACCATTTCCCACAAACCAGAGAAGTTGAATATAATGACACCCTGTAATCCTTGTTTTTATGTCAACATCATTCCCAAGCACTCAAAAGAGAGTAGTTAAAATTATTACATTTTCTCCAGCCTACAACTTTAATGTGTATCAGTCTGGTAAAAGTTTTTTACGGCTGTGCCATAAATGTGTGGATAATATTTCTTCTCTAGCCTCTCCTTCCTTCAACCATTTCAGTTCAAGACTTTGCTCTAGGGCTCTCTTACCTGAATAATTTCATCTTCTCCCCACTATGGTGAAGGAGCAGATACCCCAAACCTCCTTTAATATTCGTGGTTTCTTTATCTGTAAAAAGCAGGTGTATTAGACAGCTTTCCCAACACTGAGATGCCATACCAGAGGAGTGGTTTAATTTGGTTCATGGATTTAGGGCATTCAGTCCATGGTAGTTCCAAGGCAGAAATATCATGGTGGACAGATGACAGGACTGCCATGGTGAAGCAAAGCTGCTTATGGCATTTGGAAAGCAGAGCATGGAACAGCATCACTGAGAAAAGAGTGAGGAAACGGGTGTAGTGCCCAGGGTCATGCCTCTGAGACCCACCAGTCACACCCAGAAGTGTGTTCCACCAGTCCCCTACATGACTCCCAAGCCAATTAAGTTGATGCAGTCAAGCTTAACCTTCACAAGGGGTAAGATAACTACTGTCAGTAGGTCACTACTGTTGTTTAATAAAATAGACAATAAGCTAGTGCCTATTTATATGCTATTAATTTTTATGGATAGTCACTGTTCCCCAATCCAGTCTGCATTGTTGGTTTATACCAAGCACAACTGATTCTTGATATTTTGTATACATTACCATATCCATCATCCATGTATTTTATACCTGATTATCAGTGTCAACTTCACATATCTTTGACTTTACACTCCAAATAGGCAGAAAACTTGTTGCTAAAATATTTATTGGTCTCAAGAAACATTAATTCATTGTCTTTCAACCACAATAAGAAATCACTGAGCACTTTCTTGCAATCTTTGTGAAGAGAGTGAGTCCTGGAATAAGACTTTATTTCTGTACAAGAGGACCATCAGAGAGTTAATTTTAAAGTACATCTTAATATTCTTTTAAAAAATAACATTTACCTGCAGGACATGGTGGTGCATGCCTGTAATCCCAGCGCTTGGACATAAAAGCAGGATTGCCATAAGTTTGAGATCAGCCTGAACCATGCAGTGAGCCTTGTTTCTAAAAAAAATAAAAAATAAAAATAAAATATTTTGCAACTAGCACTTTAAATATCTGACTACAGAAATACAAGCTAATTAAAGACAAGTTGTAGAAAGGGGCTAGGGATACAGCTCAGTAGTAGAGAACTTATCTAGCATTCTCAAGGTCCTTGATTCAATGCCCAGAACTGCAAAAGAAAAGATAGATAGATAGATAGATAGATAGATAGATAGGAAAATACCAAGGAAATAATCACCATTATCTTCTTAGAATCTAAACATCTTATTTTTCTTCACATAACCAGGGCTGATCAAAACTTATAGTGTGTATTTAATTTTTAAAATGTGTTACAGTAAAAGACACATTGCCATTAATCTCCCTTGCTTAGCTCACTGTTCTTTCCACTTTGAAGCAGTTCTGGACATCCTCTTTCGTGTTTTTACAAGGTTCCATAAAAAAGTTCGGTGAACGCTGTTGCAGAGTGCCATCCACCAGAAAGGCAGGCTCATAAAAACATCACATATGGTGCATCCTCCTCCACCTACTTCCCAGGATCTGGCACCGTAGGACTCTGGCTCTTCCCCAAAGTCAAAACGGCCATGAAAGGTAAACATTTTGAATTGATTCAAGACAGAGGTAGCAATGATAGCACAAAAATTTAAACATTCCAGAACTGTCTCAGAAAGTGGCAAATATGATGGAGTTAAGTGTGTTTGAAGTGAGAGATAATAGTCTGGGGGGGTTTATAACAATGTGTCTTTTATTATAATTTTAAAATTGAAATATTCACCATAATTTTTACTCATATCTCATTCAGTCTACAAAAATAGATGGACACCATTTTTGTGATCTGCTTTTTTCTTACCTAATAACACATCGTGAATATTTTACATAGTATTAAGGATTTTCATGAGACTTTTTCTTGGAGACAGACTCTTACTATATAATGTAGGCTGCATTTGTGTAGCCCAGACTAGCCTGGAACTCGTGGCTCTTCTCCTGCCTTAGACTCCTGAATGCTGGGAGACTTAATTTATACGGGTGGCTTAGTATCCATTGCATAGAGGAATCAAAAAAGAAGCAAATCCCTAGTATTTTATAGTAAGGTTATTTCCCATTTTTCACTCTTACTGGCAATAAACATCTCTATATGTATCCTTCTGCTTATATTACTAATTATTTGCTTAGGATCCACAAGTTGAATTTAGTATCAGAGAAAGAGCACATTGTCGAAGTTTTTGCTATCTGTCGTCAAATTTCCTTTTAAAGTTGTAGAAATTCACAACTCAACAAGCCTTGTATAAGAATGCTATAATAAAGGCTTTTGGCCAAGACAATGATTATGAAAAAAATAATCAAGAAGATAAGTATTTGCTAACGGCTCGCCCTCGGCAGCTGTGTTTATTTGTTGAATTCTTTTGCCATGTTCATTGCTAGACACTGAAGGTCCTTTAGACCCTTAGTTTATTTAGTCCCTCTTTAAACACCCTGAAACTTTAACCCAAATTTTATCCGAAGGAAAAGAGGTTTCTGTTAAATATGGTTTCCAACTTGGAAAGCCAACCCAAGCATTTCCATCTCCTTTCCCAGTATGGACCACCTCTGTGAGGTTTAACTGCTGAGAATCCATTGAAAAAGGATGCCAGCTGCTTGGGTGCAAAAAACTTAAGTGCTTATAGGAAATGAGAGAAATGGTTTAGGGTGAAAGAGTCATGTTCCAAGGTACTAAGGAAAAGCCAGTAATAACCCAAGGGCTTGGAGTCTCTTCTTGACCTAGTCTGATAATATCACTATGGTGATGGTCTCCACAAACAGTTGCAAAATAGCAAGATGAAAAAAAGAACAAGCAAGTTCCACCCAGGAGATCTGGAGTTATTTTAGGGACCAAGGCAGTGTCATCTGGGGTAAATATGGAATGCAAAATCTGTTCTTTTAATAATCATCCTCCTCCTCTTTTGTGAGGCTGAACAAAGGCCTGGCAAATCTGTCCTTTGTGCTAAAAGAGGCACTGACCCAGCGTGCTCAGGGTTGAGGAGAAAGTACAGCCAAAAGAATGGAAATAATGGTTAATAACAGATGCTAAGATTCTTCTTTTCACACCGCTGGTTTCCAAGACCTGAATGAGCCTGGTGTGGAATCCAAGGGTGGAATAAAGGAGATGTTCCCAGGAAGGCTTGGCCTGCGCCAGAGGCTGGGATCAGGACCCCGGGGAGCCGAGCTTGGTTGTCTGCCCCTGACCTTGATTCCTAGCCCAGAGGAGGTGCACAAAAGCATCTTCAAAATCACTTTCCGTCTCTGGGGTGTCACCATCTGCTGAAGATGACATTTGCCACTCCTGTCCTCATGCTAGTCTCTCTGAACCCCTGACTCAGCGAACCCCAGTCCAAAAAAGCAGAACTAGCTGCTTTTTTTTTTGCATCAAGAAGAAAAAGTCAGGACATGCACTTGCTGAATTCTTCACGACCCTGAATCACTTCCTCTTCTCACTTAACCCCTTGCTCTTCCGCTCTTCTCCTTACTCCCTTCTCTTCTGGATTGCCAAAGTGTGAGTGGCACCGTTGTGTGAGGATCAGCTGCAGGGATGGAACTGCAGCCATTGAAAGCTGGCCCAGTGTCTGGCAGATAGACAGTCCTCCGTGTCCTCTGATAGAGCTCGTTCCAAAACCTCTCACCTATCCTAAAATGAACATTTCTCCAGCAGTTCTGAGGCAGGGTTCCTTCTTTCAACAAATATTTTTTGAGCATTCTCATGGAACAGATCTTTTGCTAGGAGCTGGAGTTACAGGATGAGCAAGGTCCCAGGATCATACATTCTTGAGGGAGAAATTACATTGTTGTAGACATAGTGTCTGAGTACTGAGCACAATCTCTCTCCTGTCACAGAGCCTCCTCTGATGTTTGGACATACAATCTCACTTCCTCTTTCCTCTGTTTTAGTTTTTTTTTTCCCCTTCACTGACCATCCCAGGGTATTTTGTACACTTCTTTGCTTCCTCTCTGTCAGTCTCCCCATGCAAAAATATATCCTGTCTGAGAATATTTTTTCCATGGTGTTCACTGATGAATTCCCAGCATCTAGAACCATCCTGCTGCAGACAGGTCTTTTCACATATAACAATATACCCTAAACTGGATAGCTCACAACAGAAATTTTCACAGTTCTAGAGATTTTGGAATTCTAAGATTAAGGACCTAGCAGATTAGACAACTGGCCTGAACCCTGTTTCTGGTTTATAGATAGCCCACCTGGCTATGCCCTCCCATGATAGAAAAGGAGCTTGCCCTCTGCTGTATCTTATAAACACATGAGTCCTAAACACGAGGGCTTCTCTCTCAAAATCATTTCTCCATTCCCCACCTTCCAATATGCCATTACCCTTAACATACGAATTTTGGGGAGATACAAACATTCAGATCATAGCAAGATGCACAACAAATACATGTTAAATCAATTTGTTTAATAAACTCTGCAGTCTGCTGGAATGCTCTTGAAGAAATCTCCAGGGAATGAGTGAGGAAGTCTAAGGAGTCATCATAACCCAATACAACTGTCCAGAGCTCGCGGTTCACAAAACCAAGAGGGGCACCAAGATGAGCGGGCACCTTCACCTCTCAGAGCCCTGATTCCCTCCTTGTGAAATGGGAATCGTGACGCCTGTCTTTAGGGACTGTTGAGGTGACTCAATGAGATAATGCTTGTGAATCACCCAATGAGAGACCTGGCACATAATAGTTGCTCCGTGACTGGGGATGAACACTGTTGTTTCTTATTTGAGCTTCTTAATTCTGTGCAGATATTAGTAGCACAGCTGTTTAATTGGCAAGGAAAACAAGGCTTGCAGAGCCTTAGCAATTTGCTTCTGGGCACCTAGGGAGAACTAGACTCACCCACAGGAGCCCAATTCCAAACCTAGCGCCTTGTCTACAAGCCGTAGCTACCAGCACTAGAAGAAGAATACATCTTACAGGCAACTCCAGATTCCCCTGTCATCCCCAGGTTCAGTCAGTCTCTCCAGCCACCCGCTGTGGGCTGGGAGAGAAGCAAACCTGAGGGGAGGTTGTGCATCTTATTAGTGGTGGATGGTGCTGCTCCCACCCACCTCTCCAGCGCATCCTGCAGTTTCCTGCAGGGCCTCCCCCAAGTTTCCCTGTAGCCTCCACTTCTGTAATGCCGCAGGGACCCTCAGCCTGCCAATGTTCAGACTCACAGGGGTTCTGGTCCAACCAGATGGGCTGAACCATAAGATCATTAACATAAATCAGAAATTTTCTCACAATTGAGAAGTCTTCAGAGCTACTAAGACTAGCAATTATGAAATTTCTTCAAAATAATTTCATATTTTCAAAACTGTAAGAGTGTTAGTTATGGTATTGTTTTTCCCTAGTGAAAGGCAATTTACAATGTCCAGCCCTGACAATCTGGAAAGACAGATGATAGTATTCCCAGTTTATCAATGGAAAAGTCTAGGCTCAAGAATGAATGGTCTTGGTGGAAGTCATATATGTAATTACTAAGTGGTGAGGGCTTGGTATTCAAACCCAGGTCTGTCTGGCTTCAGAGTTCATGCTCTGGGCTAGAAATGTAACTCATTGGTAGAGCACATCTTCAACATGCACGAAGCCCTGAGGTTCATCCCCAGCACCACGGGAGAAGGAGGAGGAGAAGAACGGTGGAAGGGGAGCAATAGGAGGAGGAGGAGAAAGTAAGAAGAGAATAAAAAGGAAGGATGAGGAAAAAAGGGAAGAATGAGGAAGGAATGAATGAATGAAGGAGAGAAAAAAGAAAAATAAGCTAGCTCATAGTTTTTCTGCCACACAAAAATATGGATGGAGTTAGTGGTGGGACACCTATCTCTGCATACCTCTGGAGAAAAATAGAAACAATCTAAAAACACAAAAGCCTGCAGGTCTAGCTCTATGGCAGATCACGCACTTAGTTTGCTTAGTATGGTTCTATTTCAGTATCAAACAAAAGACAAAAATAAAGGGATGGTTATGTGTATTATAATGAGTATTGTCAGATTATTTTGCAGTTATGGAAAATAATACAAAGAATATGATGAAAGAAAAGTACTTATGATGAATGAAAAGTGTAAGTTACAGAATGTATACCCATGGAGGTTACAGTTTATAAGTATGCATAATAAATAAAATGTGTCTGTATAAAGCACAAAAGGAAATACATAAATATGATGATAACCGTGTGATGGGATTTGGAGGGGATTTCCCCCTTCTACTTACTGTAATTTTTCTGTAATTCAGTTATATTACTTTTGTAATTTACAGATTTAAATATTTTTTAGACTTCTTGAGGGAGGTGCTGGTGCACACCTGTAATCCCAACACGTGGAGACCAAGGCAGGAGGATTGTCGTGAGTTTGAGGCCAGTCTGAGCTGCATAAGTGAATTCAAAGCCAGCTTGCGCTACATAGTGAGATCTTGTCTCAAAAAAAAAAAAAAAGAAAGAAAGAAAAGAAAAAAAAAAAGTCATCTCAGAAATCCTGAGGCTTTGCACAAGCAGTACTTAAACCAGCAGGCATGGTTTTAAATTGCTTGCTAGTTAGATGAATTTCTTTGAGCACCTGCTGCAACCCTAGAGACCCATC